TTGCATCCCAACAATTACTCCATTCACGCACAGAAGAAGGCAATGGCAAACCGCTTCTGGATCATCTGCCAAGAACGTATATGAACAGGTCCCAGTCCGAGAAAAGGATGGAAGGATCCTGTTCATATGGACCTGTCGTCAGACAGAACACTAAATAAATAATATAAGTAATAGCATTTCACCGTCATTATATCGAAAACTATTTTCATCACGAAAATGCACATAACGCTGCACTCTGTACTGATGGACTGATATCAACTAAGGCTGTACAGCGCAAACCACATGCAAATTAAATCAACTGATTTAAAAAAATACATTTACAATAAGAATAGAATAACGTTCCTCTATAAACTGTCGTGCCTCCTCTACAATGCCCTTTACACATAAGTTTATAAAAATATTTTATTCATTATACGATACAAACAGTCACAATAAAAGTAAAAAGGAAACGAACAAACCTTATGGGATCCATAAACAGTAAACCTAATAATGGGAAGAAGGGCTCATGAAAGTTAAATCGCTTCGAACGTTAAAAACGAAAATGCTCGTATGAAGAAACTTTGTAAATAACTTGAAATGGAAACTCGACGCTGTCTTCTATTTTAAGTTTTGAACCAAGTTTTGAGTATCAGAGAAACTTTTATGAGAAGGGTAAAAGAAGGTAATCCGCCTCAGAGTACACCTTCTCTAAGCTCTTCAATGTAATAGTCAGCTATAAGGGAGATTGCAACGCATCGCTGTTAAGGCGTCGTGCAGGCAACCAAGGTAGCCGCCATGACATAATCACTTTCAGCATGTGATCAGCGAGTAAACCAGAAACAGCGTAGACGAGCTGAGATTTCATGTTCTCACTGCAAAAATAAATATGGCTGTCTTTTTGGATGTTGTACCATAAAGACTATTAGATATCTTCCTGATGATGGAAGTACTAAGCTCCTCTGAAACGTCGGTTAATATCTAAGAGTCTATACGGCGCATTATCCTAGAAGACAGTTACCTTCAACGCAAGCAAGAGTTTTCTTATGCCACTCTTACACCAGTCATATTCAACCAAGTAAAACTGTAACTAAGAGCCTGATATCGCGACAACTACCCATCGCCCTGATGATGGAGGCAGCAAGGATCTCTGAAACGTCGGTACTACACGGCGCAACAACCCAGATGACAGTCAACTTCAAAAAATAAATTTAAATCATTTCATTACGGGGCATGTCACTTTTACAGAATAAAATTAAACAATGTGAAATCAAAGAATTTCAGTATGCACACAAACCGAACCAACCGAATTTATGATCTGTTGTTTGTGGGAAAGGAGCAAATTTCTGTGGTATTTGAACTTTCCTTTCACACGGTTAGCAGGGTTGGTGTTTCTTTATGGTGGGATTTATTGACTGCTTTGTTTTCCAGCAGCACAATGGCACTACGCAATATGCTTAACTTTATCGTAAAACGTAGACACACAATGATATTGATACTGCATAGTATAAGGCGTTTCAAATCAAGTGCACTAGTTTTAGGTTGTATCATTCGGGTGGAAAAAAGTATAAATAAAAGAAAAATTAGTTTTAAGTCTCACAATGATGCATTTGTTCTACAAACTGATGTAAAAATCCAAATTCTACAACACTGTATTGCATAATAAAAATTATTGTTAATATTAGGAACCATAAAAAGTACTGGCCAACCTACAGAAAATTAGATAATTAATTGTTTAAGTTATCACGTAAATGTCATTGTTCCAGTATTCCCTATCGTCTCTTTTCCTTTCTGATACAGTCCTTCATCACGGAAAGAATAATACCCACATGAATTTGCCTGCGTTTAGGGAATCCGTGAAAGTAAAACTGATAACTGACACTATAATCACAGTCCCTACACAGCCTTCAAATATTGCAAGACGATTTCTTCGGAATGATCTATGACATCTATTTGCCGTTTCGTGTTTCTGTCTGTATAGTGTATAAAGAGGTCAGCGGATGCTGTAATGTAGTGCCCCATAGACGATCAGTTAAAATGCTGTTACCCATACACGCAGTAAATAAAATAACTGTGCATTCTTCAGTCATACCTTCTACTGACCTGATTGATATGCTGGGTGTTACTGCTAACTGAAGATGGGAAAATAAAACGGGCTTATTTGTTTGACGTCTGCTTCAGCTGTGCTTAAATAAATAAAAGAAACAGAAAATGGAAACTGTTTGTTTCCAGCACACGATTAGTTCCACTGTGCATTTCACTGGCAGTTTTACTCAGTTCAAATATTACTCGACCTTTTAACTGCATGGACTCTGCAGTTAACTATTTTTTTAAACCACAGATATGACGTCAAACAGTTTATACGCGCATTTTAACTGTTCGCGTACAAGCCTACTAATAATTATTCGATTAATATGTGTAAATTCTGTTCTAGTAAAAATGTCCAATAACAAAGCTTGAAGATTTTCACTGTTCCAAATACGAAATTTTTTAAACATGGAAACAGCATGCTATCACACAGTAAGCCAATAATTAACAGAAGCTAATTATGTTGTTTAGAAGTAGGCCTATGGTGTTTAAAACAGCAGAAGCATAGCTAATGTTTTTTAAATACTTACTCATAAAGTGGAGAAAGCTGTTTCATTATTCATCAGTGTTCCAAACAAAACAAACCGCAGCACAATATAAAAGTGAATGTAATATTTATGTTATGTTTGGAGTGGTCGTGTATATATTAACACACAACAAACAAAACTTGGTTTCATAATTATTTGAACTAGATGCAGATTTGCAAACTAAACATTATGGTAGCCGACACACAAATATACATCCCGAAAAAACAAAAAACAAAATAGCAGGCGTAAAAACAAACAAGAACAGAATTGTTTAAATAATTAATAATCTAATGGCATAAATTATTGAAAGCCAGGCGTACATATAGATCATTTCCATTATGAAGTGATACTAACTTACTCCGGACATTTGTAAGTACTTAAAGTCCATCTGACATCATCAAGTCGTCAGCCGTCTAGCTCACTGGTATAGCAATCTGTTCACAGTGACGACAGTGTTTGGCGTATACCTGGTCTAGGAAATTAACTATTTACTTAATTGGGTCATTGGCCGTTGTCACGCATCTAGCGAACGAGCGAGTTAATCACTGAATCAATCGGTTAGTCGATTAGCTAGTCGTCGATCAGTCAGTCGATAGATTGGCCAATCGGATGGTCACGCACACAGCCTGTCGGTCATGCCTTGAAAAATTATGACGATACGATGTGATGGAAATAATAGTTCTGGTACTGCCGTTTCACTATCTGAATTTCCCTGATAAAAACAACCAGTTCTCGTTGAAATATTTAAACGAAAGTTAAAAACAAATCGGACTACACTGAAATATCACTGGAAATGTATATATTCGCTTCGCCCTGTCTGTCCATCCGTCTGAACGCGTATAAATCTAAACAGGCTGAACGGGTTTTCATAACATTTGTTAATGGAGATTTGTACTAAAAGTTGTCTACACATGCCAAATATTGTTAAAATAGAACAATAATGGTCACCTATAAGTGTTCCTGCTCTCCAAGGTCACTGGGTGGGGAGTCCCGAGGTTACGTTGGTTACCATGATTATTTTCGTCATCATGATTACTAATACCACATTCGTTACTATGGTTACCTTGCTTAAAATGGCATCCATAGCAAATTACATGGATGTCTGGATGTACGTAGCAGGCATCCTCGTTATCGAACATGATATGGAGACAATGCACATCCCTCAGACATGCTGTATTTATGCAAATCAAAATGAGTGATTAACGTATGTACCAGCCACGTAGCAGCCAGGGCGTTGTGAGGAAGACATTAATTGCAAAGGATTGTTTGATAATAACGACTCCAAAGTAGCGAAGTTGCTCAGTCACTGTTTAAACAGAAACTGTACAATAATAAAAAATATGCACGCCCTTTCCAACGTCCCTTGTGTAGCGAAATGGTGAAGGGGTGGTGAAGGTAGGCAAGGCAGGGGTTGCAGTATCGTGTCGGTCGTTGGCTGGTAGTTTTATTTGAACAGACCTCGGGCAGCAATTAGGTAACCCTACGTTGTTCGCTTAGTTCTACACTCTACAGTGAGAGGCAGTTTGTAGAAGACAGCCGAAGCACACCTCAGACTACAGGCAGTTTCCGCTCTTACGAATAGCTACGATCCTGGAGAGTTCGTAAAACGAGTCGAAATTTCCCAATATGCGCTAAGTAATAATCCGAGGTTACATTCCCGAATGACAGGAAAATGAAAAAAACAAAAAAAACAATAGAAGACGATTTTACGGTCTGAAGCAAAGCATACGAGCAACGGAAACATATTTTCACACATGCTATACAAATATCAAATCGGCAAAGAACAAACAGCAAAATCTTTCATAACATGCACGGCAAAGCAGGGCGAAAGGCGAACTGACTCATATATTTACCATGGTTTCACTGACTGGGCGACGTAGCTGAAATATTGCTTCTACATAGTCTTCTAAATAAAATTAGGTTATACCCATTATCATGTTCAAGTAAAATCTACGAAATCGTACTTTGTACCCCACTGATCATAAATTTTGAACAATTCGGTGAATAGTAACAAGAAGCAGGCTCAAGATCCCTGATTTTGTGTTGTTTTAATTAAAGTCGTTTGTAGAATTATATTCGTCTTTGATCATAAATATTCTCATTTCATCAGTGTCGAAATTAGTCCACGACCAAACGGCAAATTTCGACAGGTCACTTACAACCGTCACGGTTCTGAGCACTGCAATTAAAGAGTTTAACGCATGCACCGTAATATGTTCCAGGACATTAACTTCACAGGACACGGGAAGAGGCTAATGCATGGTATTAGATACATAGGAACAGCAGTTACTTGATATATGCTGCATGTGGCATAGTAAGGGAATCTGCCGCAGTTACGTCAATACAAAAATTTATGTAGCACGATGCTTTTCTATTACTACACCTTCAACACCCGACAGCCACACTTACTTCAATTGAAGGCGCTGTCTGTCCCGGGGCACGGTTGTTAGGAAGTGTCCTCGGCCGGATGTTGGTGAGGTCCTCATATATGACGCCATTTCCGTTAGAGACGTCGCAGCGATTCTGTGGCGATGTTTTGCACGGTAGGAAGTTTTGCACTTTTCTCTTATGTCTGTAGAGAAATGAGAAATTACAGTTAATAAAATTTAATAATTATACACATCAGTACAGACCATGTTTCATGTTCGTGGCTCAAAACACACAAAAGCAGATGTCTGGGTTGAGTGTCACGTATACAACTTGAAAACGACAGAATTAACTTCGAAAGGAAGGATACAAATATTTACACTTTCATAGGATTATATAAAATTATTTTCATATTACAGATGAGTACACAGAAACTCATAAAATACATTATCACTCAAAAAATATAAAATGTTCTTTACGACATGTATTGATCGAGAATGAGAGAACCTGGAACTATAAACGTAAGATTATGACTTGAGTAAAAAATGTTAATAAGGAGAACTCAAGTGTCCTCTATGCATAAATTGAGGAAAGGAAAAGATTAATAAGAAGATAAAGGCAGAGAGCAGAGGGGAAATAAATAAGAATGTTGAAAAATATCCTGAAGAGTTCTGTAAACAATAAGAATCCAACTATATATTTTTGGAACCTACTGCACTGTCTTCAGTTCTAAATTACCATCAAGGTACGAGGGACAAGAAACAAACGAATTCCAGTTGCTTTCGAAACCATAGTAACTCAATTGTTGTCGGGTGTAGCATTTGTCACATGGTTCGTGTGTCAGCAGAAGAATGTAACGCCCGGAATTTGGTGGGTCTGCCTACACGGCGGTGAATTTCAGGAATGTGACAACTGTAACCGATATCTCACGTGTACT